CGCCGGACCCGTTCGTCGGACCGGCCAACGAACAACGAACCAAGGAACGAACGGGTAGACAGGCGCAGGAGCAATGGGTGAAAGCGAAGCGAAGCGAGAACGCGGCGTGGCTGCGGCGTGGCAGGACATGGCGTGGCTTGGCTCGGCGTGGCGTGGACCTCACCACCGTGGCACGCTACGAAACGCCACAGAACCGACATATCCCGACCGAGCCGTGAGGGATCCAGCAGACGGCCTAAGAGGGTTCGAACGCAACCATGGCAACGTCGCGTCCCCAGGGAGGTTGCCCTCTGATTGGTTGTTCCTCGCTTTTCTACCTATACCTTGAACACTCTCGCACGAGTTTCGCCACGCCGCGCAACAACGCCGGCCCGATTATCATCCACGGCAATGGACGAATCAACCGTGCACGCGATGGCCGATACACTCCCAATACGTGGACATTAACGTTTCCGGGGCGACGCGCCGGTCGAAAAGCTGATGAAGTTTCTGTCTTTGGATTCGCTCCGGGGATGTTTGAATTGTTGGATCTTGAGAGAAAGGTGGGAGGTTAAGTACGGGAGTACCTTCCGACGAAATGTCTTTCCCTTTCGTGAATTGCTGAGGATTTACTGTGGGTACTTGATATGATTCTCCCAGTTTGTAACTGTCGGTTTTGAAAGTGGGATGTTGCTTACAGTTTTTGTAGCAAGTAATTATGATTTAGGTTGAGGGTATTGAAATGGGTTTCAATTAAAGCTACTGTGATATTTTTAATACTTGGATTCGAACGATACAATTGTTTTTTCAAACATTTTAACGTCATATGCGCAGAACTTTCTTGTTTTTCAGTTACGATGTCAATATTTTAACGTTAACGGCATCTTCACACACGATATATCCTTCTTCCCTCGTTTTCTGTAGATCGTAGGAGTTTCTATACTGTATTCCAAACCGCGGAAAGTATCCTCAGGACTCACGGAGTAAGCGAATCTCGAAAGCCCCTCTTTCGCCAGCCGGATCACCGAAATTCTCAAGTTTGTTGAATCACTGAACGCCGTTGAACTCAAAGTTTCTGATCCAAAGGAAAACCGCGGGTCGCCGGAACGTCCGAAAAATTCGTACGATCGGTGTCTGTTCAAAAATGCAGAAACGACGCGATCAACGATCGAAACTCGGGACAATCGAAATTAGAAAACTTCCAGTCGCTCGAAGCTCGAAGCTCGAAGAGCGCACGTCCCTGTATTGAGACGCTGACCGCCGAAGTTCCGAAGGATCTTCTTAAAATTCGCGTGCGACGCCATCTTCTAAACATTGCCAATCAAAGTAGAAGGCACCGTCCGGCGTAGGGGGACGGGCGTGTAGCCGGTTCGTGGAATTCCGAATGGATCGATTCAAACGAGTTTTCGGGGACGCGGTAGGACGAGTTTACGAGGAACGACGGTATTGGGCGAAAGGAGCTTGCTGCGGGCGAATGGTGGATATTCGCCGGTGGGGGTGCTAGAACGCGATTTGCCACGTCGCCGGCGAGATGAAATTTATTTTTTGATTCGATTTGAAGGCCGTCGGGTATGCGCTGTTCAAGATCAAGTTGCCCCGGCGCGTTACAAAATAATCTCGAATTTCCTTGATCGACTACGGCCCTCCATGCTAAATCTTTTAGTCTCTTTACCATCCACTTCTTATACCAAAAATTTCCGAAGTGTATTGAATTTTCGTCCATCGAATGATTTACGCGTGTCGTTCTAAGAAGGAATTAATAGAATATGTACAGTAGCATGTGAAACACATTTTTGATTCTATATAATTGATAGTTTTCAAGCGTACTTAAGCGCCGAAGTTTCGTAAACAATACTTCTTGTGATTTGTATTAACGCGGTACTGTGAAATAGTAGAATATCAAGTTACGGCTTCAAAAGAACTGGAAGTGTTCTGAAGTTGCTTCAATTTGGAATGACAGCACAATAGAAAATAATCGTGAATCGTGCTTGAAATTAAACAATTAGATTTCTGTCATCATCCATATCGATAATTACATGTTATTCGAGTTTTTAACAAAGTTTTCTGATTGAAAAAAGTGACGTTACGTTTATCAATCCTTTATTTTTAATGCCATTTCGTTCCCCATTTTCTCATTTTATCTGTAATCATCTTGCCATTCGCGTCACTCCCAACCGATAAAGAACCACGAAATAAAAATTAAACAGCGTAGGAACGGTAATAACGTTTTTCGATTGAAAACGGAACATGTTTCATTGAAATCGTATTAATATACAGGATGATCGGAAAATGAATGCGCAGACATTACCGGTAAAATCGAGGGGAAATAATGTCACCGGCTGCAATTCCGGCGAGCATTGTTGCCGGTCGTCATTCCTCGGTGTACGGTAATTAAAAAAGTTACGAGCCATTGTTGGTTATCGAATTTTTCTATCGTTGTTCTCATTATCGCACGACAGTTCGGCATTGCTGGGGCAGCGAAACAGCCGACGCAGCAATTGTCGACTATTACGCGCTAAAGCACGCCGTCCGCTCATAAATTGGGAAAACGAGGACGCCGCGTCTTTTTTTCCCTCTTCGTGCAAATGAATCGAACAATCGGCCCGTTGCATTACCGTGCGAGCGCCCGTTCTCGTAATTTCTCCTTTTTTTCCGCGGAAACACGCTCGAACACTGTCACAGAATTCAATGAATCTCGAAGGACGGACGCGCCGCGGAGAGGAAAAATTACAGTGTAATCCCGAGTTTGCGCCGACGAGTGCTCGGGGAAATCGACATATCGAAGGGAGAGAGAATCCTCTTATCGCGACGAGGTATCTTCGAAATCAGGAAATCCGTGGGAGCGCGACAAAGAACTTAAGCTCCGATTTGCTGGCCGAGGTTACTGATTATTATACACAACGAATCGTCTTCAGAAATCCTGCGAGAAGTCCTTAAGAAGAAATATGGAGATTCGGTCATTAATTATCTCCTAACTGCTTACCAATTGCAATCTAACTGCAACTGTCGCCTTAATTTCTGCTCACCCCGATTATACTATTGATGAACCAGTGATTTAAAATCGACGCATTGAGATATACTAATAGGATAACTCTAATTTATACTGTCAAACATCTATATTTTCAATTCTTTTTAACAGTATATGAATATTGCACAGAGGTCTATTTAATTATTCACTTTCACAAATATATATTTTTCTCCGTTCGGTATCAAAGATATTCACGATGTGATAATTCCTTTAAAAAAACTGGACCATCCTTCCGATTTAGCCAATTGTAGTTCCCAAACATTCCCCGATTGACTCTCAAGCGTACAATTCAATCGTCCTCTATGTAGAAGAGAGCAGGTAGAAACATTCGGTTGATCAGAGGCGAAAAGACAGCGTCGTCCCGTCGCGGGCTGCATCGACCGACGCCCGCGTCGGCGAATAAATTCGAGTTGCAGGTATACGCGCGTATCCGGCGAGCGGAACTCCGCGGCGCAGCGCGACGAAAGAGAGAAAATATCTATGAACTGCGTAGCCGGGCGGCCGGGGGGAGGGGGCGCACGGCGAGAATAACTCAATTTCCCGTTCCGACAACTGCTCAATCACAATTAACAAACTGCAGAGGGGAGTCTCGTGCAAACTCTGCTGCGTATCCTCCGCGGGTAGAAAAAAGTATCTAGATTTCACGCTGTTGCGTGGGCGTGCGTCGGGCGAAAGGGAAAAAAGGGGGT